ATCAGTCTCAGACGAGAACTACCAAGGGTTCTCAAAAAGAAACTCCTGCTATATTACTTAATTAAAAGCTGAACGTGAACTGAATTAGTCATGTCGATAGCAAGCGAAGTGGAATTTTATTACTTTATTAATTAAATTTTATTAATTAAGCTCGATGTTTCATTAAAATTTGATTTGTACAGCACGAAGGAAAGAGCCTGGTGAATAACGATGGTAGGGGAAGTTATTTAAGAGAAAAAAACTTATAAGTGGCTTTGTACTCGATATCAGTAGCATGGGATCTTTTTTGCTTTTTTTAGTTGCTTCTCTTTTTTCCTGAGCGGAGACTAAGGAAGAGGAATAAATTATGATACAAGTTGAGTAGTTGAAGTAACATTTATATTCTAGAAATATTATTTTTATTAACATTGCTGTGTGAACTAAATAAGTAAAGAATTAAGATAAAAAATAGTCAATGAAACACAAATATAAATATGAATTTCGGTAAATAACACTATTAGAATGACTATTTTAATGTGTTATAATGTTTATTGTAAGTTTTAAATATAACAATATTTAGACAGGCACTAGCAAAAGCGACCTCTAGTAAAAGGGCTTTCATCGCGTGATGAAAGTTCAGTTTTTAGGACAAGTGCTAAAAGTAAGACGATGGTCAAATGTTCAGATAAAACAGTTCGAATGCAACATAGAAAACTTTCGTCTGATCACATCAGCTACCATTGACCTTTACGTAACATAGTACACAATTAAATGATTTGTTTGACTTAAACCAAAAGTCAGTAAGGCTGTCTAAAAATAGTGTATTTCACAAGTGGCAAACGTGATTTTATTTTGCTCGTAGTATTGCCCCTCTCGAGTTATCGGGCTCGAGTCCAAACTCTTTCTACTCTCAAAATAAAATGTGACTTTTACCACTCGTATCATAAATAGCTATTGGCAAACCTATCACTCTTATGCGATATAATTATATTTTTTTAAAGTGAACTACAATTTTGAATTTACATTTTATATTTGTATTGATGTGAACAAACACTTGGAACAAATTTAGAGTACAATGCGCATCTGCTAAGACGTTTTACTTTGTGCAGAAAAAGCGATCAGGTTGTGCCTTAAAATACCATTTTATGAACGATTTAGTACATCAAAGTAAGGAATTATATAACGATAGTAAACTACAAAACAGATGAATAACGCTTTTCATTATACTCATAGTTTCTGCAAATTAATGCATCTTATGAAGGTTCGTGTTCAAGAAAGAAATTTCTTAGAAAATGAGCTGAGGTACCGTTAAGCTGGATACGTAGTTCTCAGACATGTTCTCAGTCCAAAAACAGGTTTATTTACTCACTTTTAGTTTGCATGACTGAGGCTGGGTTTGTTCGATTCCCTGAATTAACGGGAAAGGTAACGGACGTGACATTGAAGGTCGCTGCTCTGAAGATTATATTTTTCTCTCTCTTCAAATGATCTCAAGAGTGAATGAAAACGATTTGGGGAACTGAATGGTTGTGTAGTGAGAATAAGTTTTTACTTGTGGCGAGGCTAATGCATTTGGATCCATCCATGATATAAATTATTTCAAAAATCTGCATTATGAGAATTTATGAAAAGGAAATAGCGTAGAATTGTCAGGAGTTTGATAAAAAAAATACTCAGAATTATTCCACCCAGTTCATTTGACGGCATTAACACAGTTCTGACTTACTATTACGATAAAGTGATCGTAGTGGTTTTTTACATTCATTTTTCCAATGAAACGTTCATCGATTCAGAAATTATCTAGAAATTGTGGGAAACTTAAATGAAAGGCACGAAATTATGAAAAGAAATATATATTTATTTATAGAACGATCTGATATAAACACTATTATTTACTGAAAAGGCACTATTGCCGTTTTTCAAATGAGCCAATTTTCAGTTTCTTACAAAAAGTAATACATTATATCAATATATTGAGGGATATATCTATTTTTTTCTCGAATTAGGCATTTCAGCTGAAATGTTTCCTTGTGTCTCTAAATTATAGTAGGTACCCACTTAATTAACTTTTTCCTTGATTAGAATGGTTTTAATCTCTAGCATGATTTTTCTTAAATTAGTGTCCTTCTATTATTTACTTTACCACCCTGTCATTTTTTTGAAGATAAACACTGTGAATTACAGTTCTATTCTTTCTACCACCTCCAATGACTGCCTTTCATCAATTCCTCGTTGTAATGTAATTTGAATAAAACACCTGACATTGATTTCACCTCTTCGGTGCCGTAAATACGAGTCATAAGAAACGGTACTGATGGAACTTCATATGAAGTCAAACACTTAAACACACATCCATGGTCTTATGCACTAAATAGCTTTGGTAATTATTAGCTTGATTGTTAAAATCGACATAAACTACTGAAGAGGAAACACTTGCCTATTAAATCAAACACCAACGAGATTGTGATCATTTTAGATTTTAATGCATTTAATAAGAAATAATTTATTTTTTTGTTACCAGTAGTTAGTACCTGAAGTACTACTCTTAAATTAATCCTTTTTGTTTCATACGGAAGACTTGCTCTATTAACATGGCCTAACTCCCCAAGACGTAATAAGAAACTTACCATCGTTGTTCTATCAATCCAGTAGTTGAACTCGTTCATTTGGAGTCTTACGGGGAATTCGAAGAAGCTAACTGGTTTCTATAACCTTTTTACCTGACTGCGTGAAGCAATCAAGGGAGTTATGTTCTCGGAGAGTTTGTGTACATGCGGATTTATATACACACGAGTACAAGCACACTACCCGGGCTTTTTTCATTTCCAATTCTCGTAACAAAATCTATTTATTACAAACCACGGTGTTTAAGATTATTGTTTTTCCTGTAAATGGTTCACATTTTAATAAAATACTATAATTTTCTTTATTATTCTTCAGTCCAATGCTATTAGATTCTTTTTTTTTCTTACGCCCTGTTTCTGGCCTCTCTCAAATCTATTACGTACAAGTTCTGTTGCACCGCTGCTGGCCTCTGGCGGAATTTATTAGAAACCACGTACTCTTATCGAGAGGCGAAAAGCATTGATCGTAGTGCATCTACCAACATATTTAAATTATTTCATTTTCCGCATTTGTGTTGTGTTAATCTTTACCAAACTTTGCAAGACCACTGCAACAATCCTGAAGAAGAGCTTGATTAGTTGATCGTTAGTGATTGCGGACGCGTCAACTACTAGGGTGATTAGTCCCGTAAGTGTAGCGCATGCTTTTGTTCAGGAGGTGGCAGTGCACACGGTTTATGGCGAGATCTGGCGCCGACGTACCGTCGGCTAGCGGTTTTTCCCCAACCAGGTATCTCCCAGTAGCGGGGCACCGCCCCAGCCGAGACTAAGCGTCTGACCGATCTCCTGCCATGTCTGGTAGGGTAGTGTATGTTAGCTGAAGAAGAGCATGTGGAAACTTCGTATCTATTCATGCATTGCATTTTGTGGTATCGCTGACGGATACCTGTCGTTGAATACAATTTTATTTGTATAGATGACAATTGTCTCTAAGTTTCAGACAACTCCGCATGCAACAGTGTTCGCAACATACAGGAAAGCTCAATCCATCAGAATTTCACCTGCGGAACACAAGTGCAACGAAAGCAGCAAATTATTTTTTGCTATCTCTCCTTTAATTTAAAAAATAGTTTAAAATGTCCATAAAGTTTTTCCAAGATTTCAAAAAATATTACAGATACATTGCCGCATCTACGTCAGTATTTCGCTTTGCAAAGGAAAGAAAAAACTCATTAAGTTGTTTTCACCCCGGGAAAAGGCGATGTGTGTTCTATGGTTTCATGAGAAGCAGTCAGCGATTACTACTCAGGAAAATTTCCGGAGGGAATATATGTATGCGCGAACAGCACCGGATTACAAGAGTGCTGCTGCGTGATGTGGTAAGTTTAATGAGACTGACAGTGTGTGTGACCGTCGGCGAACAGGACGAGTAAATTTCTCCCTTTCCTCAAAGTCTGAGCAAATTTAAAAATAAATTAGTTTCCTGAATGTTGATATGTGTGTTTTAAATATATGCAGTGTTATGCAGTGTAATTATGCAGTGTAAGTAACTATGTCTTCAATGTAATTAAGTATTATTATTATTATTATTATTATTATTATTATTATCATTATCATTGTTATTATTAATTATGTGCTGTGCAGTGGCGTTGTGAAACGGAGGGAAACGAGTGTGTAAGAAACACATTACATCTCGGTGTCTCAGGTGTTTCGGATGAGCAACAGTTTCGTCTTTCTGTAGGGGAATTAAATTTAAATCGAATTTAATGACCGTCATACTTGATATAGGAAATGTAGGGCACAGATTGGAATTTCTGTGTAATAAATAGATCACGTTAAGCATTCTCGATGTTACATTATTTATTTTCATTGATGATACATTTACTTTTTCTAGGAAGAAATTTTAATTATTTTAAGAAGATTTTTCTGAAACAATCTTTCCAATTCACACTATTTATAGAAAAAAACATTGATAAATTTGATACGTTATTATACACTACCTCCGCAATGAATATAGGTGTAATAATTAATAACGTAATTAAGTCGATATAGTGCTGACTGACGCGCTAAACTGAGACGATAGCTGGGCCAAGCCTTTTTATCACACCAACTTCTTATAAAGAACATTTATTTAAATAAATAAAAATAATTGACTTTTAATAAAATAAGACTTCCCTTTCGCCGTCTGTAGCTACAACTCATGTTTCAATTTCTCCTAAGGGACGGCTGACGTTTAATTACGTAAGGACCGCTTGCCGTTAAGAGTGAGCTCAGCGAGTTTGGTTGCGTGAAGTCGATTGTAATGTACAGTGTTACGAAAAATAATAAATGAAGAGGAAACACGAAGGACTGTAATTCTCAATTGGGGTAGGCCAAATATTGTACAAGCCTTGTAAGGGAAGTCCCTCGCGTCCTGTTCTTTGAGAGTAGGCCAGCAGAATCGGTAGTTTGCTGCGGATGTCAGCCATAGTTCAGGAAACACGAACCGACCGGTTGGACGTAGACATGCTGTGCGCGTTTGTTGGGCAGCATACGGGTGTGGAATGGGAAGGAAGAAAATTATCTTCAAGGTATCGTGGAATGGGTGGAATTGTTAATCAGATACCTTTAACATCTGTATGTTTGTTAATTTCAAGTTTGGCGTTATGTGGTAAGCCCTTTTTGTCTGGATTTTATTCAACGGATTTAATTTTGGAATTGAAATGAATACGAAATTTTAATTTATTAAATTTGTATTGTTTTTTCATTCTACTGGATTAATTTGTCTGTTTGTTATACTTGGGGGATTGGGAAGGAAAGGGGGGATGGAAAGGAAAAAATGCTTCGTAATGTACGTGAGTGCTCTGGGTTAGAATCAGGATATTTTGAGGGTCCCTAGGTGTGATCAAAGCTACGGCCCTGCAATAGAATTGAAGTATTGATCATCTTCGATGCACAGAAAAAATGGCACATCTCAGTAATTCTCGTTTTCCAGGATAACGGTTTTAAAGTAAGGGGAGCCGAGACTTACCCCTGCACATAATTTGCCCAAAATGTGAAGAGAGTTCGCACATAATGCTACTACATAATTGATATACGTACTTAAATATAAAATATTTTTATTAGTAAATGTACTTAAAAAAATGTAAATTTTTAAAATGTCTAAAATTTAACGCAGTAGATGTAATTATTGAAATGTAATATTCTTCTCGAACCAGTCTAATATCACTATCTATGAAAGAATTATAATGCATTATAATAACTAGCCATCGTGAGTGTGTGTGTGTGTTAATAAATTAAACATATCATTAGCGCGTCTCTGTTTTATATAGTAGTTTTAGATAGTATTGTATCAGTTCCCAATATTTCCATTTAAGCAAAATCGATTACTCTAATTTTCATAACTTGCAAGTTTGCAACTAGTCTTTAATATACAGTAACATTCTCCATAATATAGACTATGTTACATGGTAATATCTAAGAACTTTTTAATATTTAGTCAAACCCTTAATCCATTCACCATTCTTACCATCAAGAACCAAAGTAGTTTTATGTAAATGAATGTATTACACGGGGACCATAATTCGAAAGAGTGTCATTGTGGTATCGAAATGCAAATTTACGACAGTATCGAGTAACACAGTAACACGAATGCTTTATGTACTACTGGACTACTTACACAAAGTTCCTCTTTTTTGTTCGAAAATAAAAGGGCATTCTGTAGCGCACGAAGACACAGCCCCTGTGGTACACCCGGCTTCTATACTTCACTGAGTCATAACCATTGAGCCCATTACATATTCGTGGAACGCATCCCTCTTAAGAGGCGGTACAATGGGCTCGAGAACGTGGCATACGTGAGCTGCTTTTTATACTTTCCTCTTATGAGGAAGGAAACCGATGGCTCCCGGAGGTTGGTTGCCTCGTTCGCTCTAGGGCGAAATTGTTCTGCGGAGAATGTTTTTAACGGTTGCGTCGATGTATTTCTTAATGCAATAATCTTCTGGGAGGAGGAAATGAGAGAATGTGCGATGTACGCGCCTAGCTTTATTAAATAAGTTCATCTCCTGGTTGCAAAGTAGGTTTTCATCTCCTCGTTGCTTCTTCACACCACCTTCCCCACAACTTTCTTCGAAGTATTGTTTCAATTTCGGTTCGAAGTGTAGAACATAGGGAGATACTTCTTTCGCTTCTCACATCGTACGAGGAAATGTAGTTAACGTTTGCAATTACGTTTGTTACTCTATTTTTTTAAAATATTATCCTTTTTGATAGAGAATCAAAGCATTGAGTCTGATGGGAAGTGTGATCTGATACTTTTTTTAACAAAATACCAAATGTTTGAGAATGATTGAATTTTGTTGCATTGGATGTTTTAATGTCTTTGAACTCTGCCGAGGGGGAGGAGTCATAGCCTCGCTTGGCTTTTCTCCTGAGTCTCCATAGTGGAGAGCTTCGCCTCGTCCTGGATAGTGGGTGCAAGAGGGGTTACAGATTGGCCTGTCCCCCTGGGAAAGTGCCGGATGAAGATGCGTTTTAAACACAATAAGGATTAAAAAAAGATGTATTATTTGTGATGTTATTTTAATACTACTAACAATTCAGAGCTTCAAAAAAAATTTAGACGACACCAAATTCAAATTATTTGTACTACAGTTACAGTACGAACAGCAAGATTTACATACAAATCATCTGATATTTTATTTTTGTATTTTATCTTCGTATCCTTAGCTATTTATTTCTACAGTGCAATCTAAAACAAATTTATTTAATTTTTTATTAACTTTATATAATTAAAGTCAAACTTTACGAAACTGAGAACAGTTTTGTAAAAACAATTATTCGAACAGAAGTATAATTCTGATCCATGGCCGTCTATAAACAACTACGATTAGGCGCATAGAAAGTAATATTAGAATACGCGTTCTTATACTAAACTATGACCGCATAGTATCTATTATTGTTATCAATCTGCCACCTTTCACAGAACGAATGATGAAATACAAACGAAAATTATAGTACGTTAGGACTTTTACAAAGTCAAAAAGATATTAGTATTGTAACATTTTTTTACAAAACTCGATTGGTTATGAAACTCAGACTAACAACCACTTTTTATAATTCTTCAATTATGGTATTGTCATAAGGTGTCGTGCGATATTTATTTTGTATGTAAATATTAAAAACCGCCTGTCCCTTTTACATGAAGATGCCCTTGCATCGCAGTGGCTTCCGGTGCTTAAGCGCTCACGACTGTTTTCGCTGGCGCGAACCGACTTCACACAGTCAGTGGCGATGGGGACAGCGATTGTAGTGGCAGGGGTATTGGCGGTTACGATGGCGCAGTAGTGGCGATAGCGTGCGTTGTGTCGGGGCGGCCCGCGGCGCGTCAGTGAGTTTGTGGGGCGTTGTGGCGCGGCGCAGTTTGCGTCAGGGATCTGAGTACGGGGCGGCGCAGTGACGCGGAGTTTGTGGAGCGGGACGCGACAGAATCGGTGGATTGCGGGGGCTGGCGTCGGCGGCTGAGTGTCAGGTGGGGTTCGTGGTGGGCGTCGGTCGGTACCAGGGGTGGGGTGGGCGGGGCGGGGAAGGCGATCGCGACGACCCACGTCCGGCGGGTTGGAATGAGAGACTGTAAATAGATATCAGCCTGCGGTTTGCAGGTTGGAGAAGAGTACTGAGAGAGCAGGGAAGAGAACCAAGAGGAGGTGGCGAGGGTGACAACGCGGGCGTGTGCGGGGTGGCGGTTGGACTGATTGGCAATGGGAGCGATGACGGGGGCGGCGGCGGCGGGGTCGGCGATGTGGTGGCGCGCGGCGCGGCGGCGGCGGTGGGCCTCCTGGGCCGGTGGCAGCGCGGCACTCTCTCACCGGCACGACGCGACGGCCGCTTTTCAAGTGACGCGCCGTAATGCCCGCCGTGCAAATAAACAGCGCACTCGCACGGCCCGGGTGGCGCGGGGGCTTCGGGCCTTCGCGCGTAGTACGTGCTACCTGCTGCCAGTGGGCCGGGAGGGGTGGCTCAGGGCATCAGTTGGTGTCTCTGCAGTGCCTCTGACCGGGAGGTCCGAGGCTTCCCACTCTCGATGGTGACAGGTGTTTCGTCTCTATGCAAACAGCTAGGTCGAATTCAGCCGCTCGCTGTCTGGAGGAGAATTCTAGCGGTCGGCTGCTCTGATCGGTAGCTTTCCGTGGTTTCTGCGATCAACACCAGGCGAATGCTGGAGCAGTCCTTTAACAAACGAGCCACAGACCGCGCGGGCTCTTTCCTTCCCCTTCCTTATCCTGTCCACACACTTACACTTGCACGCACTACACTGTCACACATGCCGGGAGACCTTCCGGGATCTTAGACTTTGTCCCTGGTCCCTGCTGGGATGGTGCTCCGCTGGTGAGAGATGTCAGGTTTGGGACCGCCCCCCCCCTACCCGACGGGAGTTTGGCGCCGAATCCATCATCCAGCGGGGAAGATAACCTTTTCCTCCGGAGGGAGACCTTGTACTACACTTACGGGACAATTGATCTTGGCAATTGACGCTCCCGGAATCAGTAATCAAGTATTCAATAAATCCTGCCAGTGAGTTCGATTCCCGCGAAATGCATGCAGGGAATGGGTTATTATTTAGTGTTTTCGGCTGAGTGAACTGCTATGGTCATTAGTTTCCTTAGTGTAGTGCATGTTATAGCCGGGAGTTGGCCATGTCCCATCGTCGCAGAGCTATGACTCGATTCTCAGAGATTACATTTGCATTTAGAATGATCGCGTATAATCAAAACTATTAGAAGTTATAACAATCCAATGAACTATAGTAGCCAACATTACCACAAACAGTGTTGGGCAAAAACTTCAAATTTAGTATTTAAATACTTCGCTGACATACTTTTTCAATAAATATTTAAATTCATACTTGAAATACATTAGGTTTTGATTTGCCAAATACATACGAATTAAAATATTTATGCTACAATAATGTATTGCTCAGATTGTTTTAATGTTTTGTATATATAATATATATATATATATATATATATATATAATATATATATAATGCTTTCAAATATATGCTATTAAAAATATGTCTAACACAAATATACGGAATTTCCTTTTAAAACGACTAATGTTTCAACCACAATCATCAAGACAATAAAACCCTTAGTAGGGCAAATGTATAAAACGTGCTAAGGATAACAAGTTATTCAACTGGCGCGAATGAAGATAAACTAGTGTTATAACGAATAAACGATGCTTTTAATTCTGTGCATTCACTAGCGAATCAAGCAAAAAGAAACTATCCTCGTTATCTTCTCCTTCATCTACATTTAAAGTATTTTAAGTATTTCTTTTTTAAATTCACCTATGTTATGTAATATATATCTCCAAAATACATTTTCAAAAACCTAAAAAAATACAGTTCTTTAAATACGAAATGTACTTAAAATACTTATTAAAAGTATTTAAATGCTGTCCAACCCTGGTCACAAACTACCTTTAGCCGCTTGCATTCAGGTACCAAGTTAAACGTGCAGAGAAGAGGTAATGCAAGAAGAGGAGAAAGAAGCAGATTGACTGAAGAGGGTGTGAGAGAGACGGGCTGGCCTTTGCAAAAGTTATGTTTGCCTTTTCTGGTGCCACGCGTTTGTCAAGCACTCTTCTCTAGCGGTCTCGATGTGTCTGAGGAAAAACTTCAAAGCAGACTATTAGGAGTTCGAGCTCTGCACTGCTCAATGTGAAACGAAACCTATTCCTTCGAGTAGGAAGTCAATGATCCGGTTATTTCATGATTGTTTCAATGATTTACAAATTCACACTGAAATTCCTTGTTTAATATTGTAGATCTTATCTTTGTAAGTGCCTTATCTACGAAAATCTTGATGTACATTTGCCAAATGGAGAGTCTAAAGAGAAACTTCAAAGCTCGGTTTTTAGGAGTGTGTATGCATGGTTTGCGGGCAGATGATGGAAAAATGTCTTTGATCTTAACGCAGTTTTGATTCTTGGGATTTCGTTTTTCTCTTTTAGAACGTTACTACTCAACGACGTACTGGTGAAACGAAATCGTGTCTGTTCTCTGTCACGCCATATCAAAAGGCTCATAGTAGATTGATGAATGAAAAAGAGGAACCCAAATTTAAAAAGAAATGATGGACGAAGTCTTATAAGTTCGTTTTTTAATAGAATGCTTAAGTTTGTACCGGGACCCTATTGTATTGTAGGAGACATTAGCTGGTTTTAAATAATTAAAGTAAATATTACTACTTTTTATCGTTCCCAAATCGCAAACGAATATTATTGTTCTTCTTTCCTTTTTCCCATGACCAAGTAGCCAATTTTCTACACGTCTTTCAAGTAACCCTGTAAATTAGCATTTTATTGGATACAGTATATTATAAGTTGTTGACATTGTTATAATATTGCATTTACTTTATTTTCCAGATAAAATATTTTCGTGATTCTCCTATTGCTGTTCTGTGGAAGTATTCAAGACATGTGAGTTACACTTTATCCTTTATGTAGTAGTATTATATACTTTTCTATAGAATGTAATAGTTATTTGTTATCATTGGAACATTTAATTTTACGAGTTGTATTCATGGTGACACTTTGTATTTTGAGTTTGCGGGAAGCCTTTAACCAGTGCTTTTGCCCTTTCCACGACGTCAGTTTGAAAATAGGGAAGGCAACAGATTGAAGAAGTGACAAATTGAATTAACAGTGTTCAACGGTATTTTACGGGAGTTTTGACATCATTCACGCTTAGCATTGTTCAGCAGAAACTGAATAGAAAAACAAAGCTATCGGCGACTTTGGCCTCAAAAATCACTAGGGAATATCGCCGTTTGTGCACGAGGCCACGAGGGCCACGCACTCCGTCAGGTGGATAAACGCTTAAGCAGGCATAACGAGCACACATTAGGGAAGCGACGACGTCAACACAACATAATATATTTTAAACTATCGATGTTCAAATTTACGAAATCGGTGTTAATAAAACATTGCTTTAAAACCATCGATGTTTTTAAACATAGATATTTTTATAATTGGTGTAGTAACCTGAAATATAAATGTGCGTTCGAGGGAGGTTTTAAATTGACAGTGACCTTGTGTATCAATTTATGATAAGATTTAACTGACAAAACAATGTAGAAAATAATATTACAGTCTTATATAGCTGAATAATGTTTTATAACTGCAGTTAGATTAAGCCTAACATATTGTGAAAATGTGATTAACTAGAACATTTTTGTTGTCATAATTGTAACTATTATTTTGGAATATATATTGTATAATGACAAGGGTCGCTGATGACCTTGACGTTATTAAGCGACCATAAATAAATAAGTTAAAAGTATTAATTAACAAAACTCAGGGATATATCGAGGGATCTCGGCTTTCTCAGTTCGCTGTACTAATGAAAACTACAACTGGAGCTTCGCGCCTACTGCGCATGCGTTGACAGACTCTTCGTGTGTGGGAAAACGAGAAAAGACGTAGGATATACCAGTGCATCGGGGTCATATCTCAGGGGGAGAGATAGTCTGCTTTGTGACGGTGATATATGAAAGCGTACGCTTCGTTCGAACACATGAACTTGCATTAGCATCACCAGTTATCGTTTCGTATTTTTAGTTTTAGAAACTAGGATAATGAGACTTTTTCACTCACACAAATCGTCGACATCGTAATAATATTGTCATCAGAAAACATCGATGTTTGAAACAAACATCGTCGTTTTGAAAGTATCCACATCGATGGCTAATCCCTAACACAGATAAGCACTCTTTAGGGTCCCCCTGAGCACCCAATAATTTTGAAATATGAATATATTTAATTCTAATGAAATAATTTTATATTTTTTTCAATTGCCACAAATCAGTGTGAAGAATATTTCGGAATGAAAGCATTTAGTGCAAAAATGCACATTGAAAGTATTTGCTATCGTGGTTGTTAATGACTTCCAACTATTAAGGAGCGGCTTCGTGAAATTGATAAACTTCAATTTCTCAAACACCTGTTGATCTTTAAGTATTTATGTACGTATCTATATAGAGTGTCAGAAAACTGACAAATGTATTGATCACGAAAGGTTTTTCAAGCTAGAAATGGGTGTTTTCATTTTTTGTGGGGGCGTATGTTTGGCACTAGTTGGAGAGCTGAGTCGAATTTAATCCCTCTGTGGAAGATGGCTGCTTGATTGTTTTTCATGGTTTCTGCAATCAATACAAGCCGAATGCTGGAGCAGTAATGAACGAACCACAGGCCTCAGAAGGTCTTTCCTTCTTCATTTTTGTCCCTACACACACACACTCTTAAATGCACTACACCACAACACATGTTGAGAAACCAGTCGAGATACTACAACTTGCCCTGGCTTGGGCGGTGCTTCACTAGGGTGTGATATTTGGTGGGGGAAACGCCGCACAGCATATGTAGGCCTGCACCGGTTATCACGTTACAAAGATGGGGAAACACCGCCACCTCCTCGAGATATAACACTTACTACACTTACGGGATTGATTATCTTAACCGTTGACGCACCCGGACTCAATAACATCTTCTCTCCGATATGTGTGTCTGTGTGTGAAGCCTGTGTGTGAGTCTCTGAGCGTGTGTGTGAGTTTGATCGTAGTTGGAGCCCCTTAAGATATGAATGCGACGCTGGCCACCACTAAGGCCTGCCCGGCGCGGCTTGCTTAAGCATGATTCAGCGTCATTTGTTTCGCGTGCGCGCTGTTATCCAGCCGGTGGCGGTGGCGTCGGGCCGGGCGGGAGTACACATTCACGGCGGCAAGAGGTTTGTTTGCGCCAGTGGCTGGGCCGGCGCCAAGTGGGTCCCAGCGGAGCCGTTTCGCCACCACCGCCGCCGCCGCATTCATAAGACGGCTCTTCCGCTCCCGCCGCGCGATCCGACTGGCTGCGCCAGGAGGCGACTCCAGGCTACAGGAGGCCCCCGCGCAGAGGTATCGTCGTGGCTGGGTGAAAGCAAAGCACGGCCCACCGGCTCAGGAGGCTCCAGGCGTCAGTTGATGGCGCTGCTGTGCCTCTGACCGGGAGGTCCTAGGGTTCCACCGGGCAGGATTTTCGACTCAACCTAGATAGCGGAGTCGAGTTCACACGCTGTCGAGAAGAGAATTCTAGCGGACCGCTGCTCTGTTCGGTAGCTTTCTGTGGTTTTTTCGATTAACGCCAGGCGAATGCCTAACAAACTGGCCACGGACCGTGCGCGATTTTCCTTCCTCATACTTGTCCTAGCCTCTCATTCTTACACGTACACTTGCATGTATTACACTACCACACATGTTGGGACCTTACAGTTAGGCGGTGCCTCGCTGATGGAAGATACCTGGCTGGAGAAAACTCGAAAACCGTGTAGTTCGGCCCTGAATATCTCCATCAAGTGGTAAAAACGTGCTTTACAATTACGGGACTAATGACCTTAGCAGTTGACGCGCCCGCAAACACCAATAAATAAATCAATCAATCAATCAAACAAACAAACGAGCACAGCCGTCTTACGGATACTGAAAGTTGGAAATATTTCCTGCTAGAGAAGAGTTTTAATTTTTTATCTACGTGTAGCGGTGTTCGTTTTTCAACTGCAACATTTTGCTAGACACTGAATACGAGTATTACGACCATCCCACGCAATCGGAAGATGATACTTCTGTTCAAACACGCGATCCAACTGGCTGCGGGGAGGAGGCAGCAGGGGTCCAGTGGAATTGAAAACTCTTTCATGAAAGCAAGTAGAGCCGTTTGGTGGGTACCGAAAGTCGACAATTTTCTCCCAAAATACAGACTTTGCATTTGATGGAAGTTTCTTTTAACATTGTGCTTCACTGTCAGCTTTGCAATTGGAATATTGTTACCTAAGAGTACGTAGTTTACCACGAAAAGAGGCAACAGGAGGGTATGGGAGAGCCGAAGTATTTCAAGCAAAACCATTTCATGGGTTCTGCAAGTTCAGTACTTCCCCCAGATAGGAAATTTTTCGTTTTGTAGAAAAAACAACAAAAAATCTTTCTATATAACTTATTTAGACTTGCCACTGCGGTATTCTTAGCCAACACTGTGCTAGGAAAGTCTCTCCGTCATGGCACCAGTGGCTGGTGAGAGTGAACGAGAATTATGTTGCTAGCGCCGCCTGAAGGTTGTAACAAATGAAAATGTAAATTGCGTACTCAGTACAATCATAACAGATGCTGAAAATGTTATCCCCTTCACTTGTTTTCAAGTGATCTGGTAGCTACGAATATAAATGCAACTTTTAATAGGAGCCCCTGATTCGGATCGGTGCGAAGAGTCTTTCCTGGTGCACATTATTACGCCCTTTGGAATCATTGTCATTGAAGATGACCCTTACGTTTCGACAAGCCAGCCTTCTTGCTTTGCTATTAAGCATCGCTCATAAGAAAGTACCTTTAGTGAAAACACGCAGAGCCGCCACATAGGTATAGCAAGTTGACAATTTTCTCGCAGAAAAAGAGAATTTTCGTTTTTCTAAAAAATCTCACCGTAATCTGTGCGAGTAGGTTTTTAAAATTGCGACAGTTATTCGTACTACAAAATAGCGCAAAAGTACTCATAGTCTCATTCTCAATGTTCTTTTAAAACGGTAAATGTTGTTTAGTTTTGTGAAAGCAAGGAGAATAGCCTTTCGGGAATTCTGCTCGGAAATTAAATGAAGGGCTCCCATCGTGATCCTACTACGTTTTCATATGGTTTTCCAGAGATCATGAAAGAAAATGGTCATGGTTTGGTTGCGTCTGGGGAGTAAAACGAACTTACCATTTGCTGGGTCGCATGTAATTTAAATTTCTTGTCATAATCATTTTAATTATTTTTTATTGGTAACTCTATTTCTAATTCGTTTCCTGGAATTTACTCTGAAAGCAATCCTTAAAAATGTGGTTTGAGGTTTCCATTACAGATTATTTTGAAATATTATACAGTGAAATATATATGGTCATTCGGATATGCTCCCTTTGTTATGCCGAACTGCATCGAGTGCTATAACTAACATGAAACTTTTAGTACCGGAGCAATCGTTTCAGTTTTAATACATTCCCACACTAGCGTCATCTGGTTGAACATGAATGCGGTTCAAAGATTACAGAAAAAAAATACTCACACACATGTTCGTCTTCTCAAGTGTTGTTCATCTCCGCATCTTTTGAAGGAGGATTATTCTCTCAACAACCAGATGCGCGCCTGGACGACAAAAAGCTGGGAGGTTAAGTGCTTGTGTCTCCGAATATCAACTACCACTCCGCCCGCCCAGTCGTGTTTAGCAAACGTTTTTGTCGTGGGGCGATGTATACTGTGCGTGGGAGCGGTAATGCAAGCTAAGAGGGAACTGGGGCAGGAGAATAAAATAAAATCAATGAGAATCCTTCAATCGATGAATTGGCTGCTATTCTTATTACACACACACACACACACATTAGTGCAGTAATCATATTGACCCCCATTTTCCCGAGGGTTTTCCTAGTTTTATGTTTCGGTCTTAGTCCGAA